TTTGAGCCAAAACTCAATTTTGAGTGGAATTTCGTCCGTCGCCGCCGTTGACGGCAGATCTCCGGCGTTGAATTTTTTTTTTAATTATTTTTTACTTTAACATCTTTTTGCACCTTTTAAACATCAATATTGTTTTGGTTGACAGTCATATTAAGTATACTATTGTTTAACACAATAATATTAACTATACTACAGTTTAACACAGTAATATTGTTATATTACTCTCTATCACAATAATATTAACACAACAAAAGTCAGTATTATTGTGTAATAGAGTAATATTAATATGTTGTCCGTTCAATAAAGGCAAATATAATAAAAAACCAAAAGAAGTAATATTAATGTGGTTGACAGTAATATTACTGTCATCCACAGTAATACTGCAACAACAGTAATATTATTGTGTTTACAGTAATATTACAATAGTAGACAGTAATATTATTACAGTGATAGGGTATAATTGGTACTTTAAGTTGCCCTGGGGATCAATTAAACTAAAACTAGAATTTGGTTTTGGATTAGGGCAGAAAAATCTATATGACCTTCTCATATATATTTTCAGAAATAGAGGGGTGTCATACAAAATAGATTTGGTTTTTCTTGGCTAGGTGTGAAAATTAGACGGCTCAATTAAAATTAGTATTGTCGGAGAACAAAATCAATTTTGTTAAAGTAAAATTTAATAAGAAAGAAAATGGTCCGTTAGAACTAAGCTCATCATCCTATACTTATTCATAAAGGGGTCCAGACAAAAAATTTTTTTTACAAAAAAGTCTACACATTGTCCAGAGATGTATAAAGGACTAAAATACCCCTCACATTTTAATATGCTCCAATTTCATCCTTTAATTTAATTTAACCTCAATTTTACCACGAATTTCACAAATTATTCAATTTTGAGCCAAAACTCAATTTTGAGTGGAATTTCGTCCGTCGCCGCCGTTGACGGCAGATCTCCGGCGTTGAATTTTTTTTTAATTATTTTTTACTTTAACATCTTTTTGCACCTTTTAAACATCAATATTGTTTTGGTCGACAGTCATATTAAGTATACTATTGTTTAACACAATAATATTAACTATACTACAGTTTTACACAGTAATATTGTTATATTACTCTCTATCACAA